ATAGTCGCGGGCTACTTGAACTGAGACAGCCACAATATCAACTCGGGCAGCAGCAATAAAAAAAATTAAAAAAAAGCAACAAGGCGCCGTTCGACTTCATAGAAACATCTTCTGTGAGCTCTCCGTGCCGTGTTGAGGGTTTTCCACACCGCCATGGCGCGATTTCTGTAGGATAGTATTGTTGCATGATTTATTTTTGAATCTCGGTTTTGTAAAACGCCGCTGGTGACTGTTTATATTGTGTTTTTGTCCGGATTTCAACAGCTCATTTCTACCAGTTTCCCTGGTTAGTCTGCTTATCCATGCTTTATTCGTTATCCACGTGTGTGGTGTTTGATCAAACGTGTTAAAACATCAAAACCTGGTGTTAAAATGCTTTCAACCATCGATCCATCTTGCAGGGCGAGTTGATCTGCTGTTGTAAGGATGTCATCTGTCGGTCAAACACAAGGAAGCGCGGTTCAAGATTCGGGAGCAGATATTCACAATCAAGAAAACATGCTTTCACGACTACGCGGCGCAGCAAAGAACCGAATTGAAAACCGGGAAAATGTCAACCCTAAACCAGGCAACAGGACTGTTCTGGGCGCCCTGGAGAACAATCAGCGCAGACAGCCCGTTCTGCGCGGCGCTAAACAGGTTAGAGCACGCATGGCACGCGACTATTAATATGTAATAGAATTACACAATATATTGTGTAATTCTATTACATATTACTATCAAATATGCTTCGATTATAGACTTATTTCATCAGCTTAATTGTAGTACGTATGAGTATTTAGTTTAATAATCAGTGTGTTTTGCTTTAACAATTGCTAACTTAATAACATTGACTAGATGAACTGAACGTGAAAGTGCTTTAGTTGAACCAGTCAAACTGCTCGCAGGCTTTGTTGTCCCTTTGAATCACGAATATAAATCTAAATCCCTTTCCATTTTGTCTACCCTTTTGGGTCAAACTGCATTTTATGGCGCCACAGGTTAAAATGAAATGCAGTGTTAAATGTCCTTACTCATTCCCTCGCAATGCACAGACCGCCATTTTACAAACCCGTTCACTGCTACCATAGTAAACCGGGTTGGTTGGTTAAAGGGGTAGTTCACCAAAACGAGTTAATATTTTGTGGACCACAAGATGTTCTGCCAAATATTTGTGACCTGAGGCTGTCATTCTGCCTAACATTTGTTTCCATATGAGAAATCATTACGTTTTGGTACGTTTCCATTTCTGGTCAGCTGTCCCTTTAATAGTGCAACAGGTGCATATCCACAGTTTCTTGTACAAAGTGTACGTTAACCTTAACCTTTGTTCAAAATCTGGGTACAGTTTTTATGGAGTGGGGTTACGTTTATGCCAATTTTGATTCAATATGATTAACTACACCATGAAAATTTGGATTAAAAACGGCAAGTTTTTTACATGATGCTCACCAAAGATCAGATCTTTTTTATTGAATCTTAATCTATATTTCAACTTTCATCATTATTTACATTAAGCAAACATGTTAAAGCACTTGTGTGCTTTCCTGAAGCTCAAACCGTTCTCATGACACTGCAAGATTGTGGGTTAAATTCCCAGAGAAATAAACATGCATGGACTGAACTTGCTCTTTCAGTGAAGTTTCTTCAGATAACGCATGTGATGAAAGCATAAATGTAACTACCCTCTGAGTATAGTTGAGAAGCTAACCAACTATTTCAGGTCTGTGCAGCTGCCTTTAATAATTGTCAAACTGACTCCCATACATCAGATTTGTATTATAAATTTGTATGCATATTCCACATCACAGTGTTAGAGAGATACTTCGCATATGTCTTTGTGACCTTTAAATTGGTCCATTTCAATTAAAAAAAATAACCAGTATTTCCGACCACTCAAAGCTGAAATGGGTCAAATTGGCCTGCTTCATAATGAAGCTACTGCAAAAAAGGGCCTGTAATTACCTATGTAGTGTATAGGACCGTTTTCCCCAGCACTCTATTCCAGTTTTCTGTTTACAGGTCTCTGGGCCCCAAATAATTGCATGCAAATCTGAAGAACATGGCAGTTTTGGAGAGAAGCCCTCCACAAGGCCACCTGCTTTTCAGATCCATGTGGATGAGCCTGATGGTGCATGCTCTAAGAAACCATCTACCAAAAGAGCAACCATGGATTGCTCTCCTCTAACACTAAATCCCACCGTGACCCGCCTAAGGCAGCCCCTCGCCACTATCGATCTGCCCGTGGAAGCCAGTTTTGGTAAGAGAAACAACTTAAGTTAAATGCAATGCCCATACTGTCTTCTGTTGCACTTTATAGAAAACCTGAAATACAACTTGTACAACTCTTTTTAATACATAGATTCTCCTATGGATATGTCAATAATTGAGAGTGAGGAGAGGCCCACAAATCTAAACGAAGTCTCAGATTATGCAGCAGAAATACATGCACACTTGCGGGAAATGGAGGTGAGGATGTGTTAAGTTCTCCATTTTAAGCTCCTCTTTTAATGATGCATGTTCTCTACTTCATGGCTCAATGTTTATGGTGGTGGGTTTTTTTTTTTTTTTTTTTTTTTTTTTTAAATCATGCAGTTCAAGTCAAAACCAAAAGCAGGTTACATGAAGAAACAGCCCGACATCACAAACAGCATGCGAGCCATTCTGGTGGACTGGTTGGTGGAGGTGGGAGAAGAGTACAAGCTCCAGAATGAGACCCTCTACCTGGCTGTGAACTACATCGATCGCTTTTTGTCTTCCATGTCTGTCCTGAGAGGAAAACTACAGCTGGTGGGCACAGCTGCTATGCTTTTGGCTTCGTAAGTATCTTTGCATTAAAGCCTCAGACTGCACAACCTTCCCCCCACTCCTCGCCATTCTCCATGTTCACACTTCTCTGTTTGACTGTAGGAAGTTTGAGGAGATCTACCCCCCGGAGGTGGCAGAATTTGTTTACATCACTGACGACACCTACACAAAAAAACAAGTGTTGAGAATGGAGCATCTGGTGCTGACGGTTCTGTCGTTTGATCTTGCTGCTCCTACAATCAATCAATTCCTCACCCAGTATTTCTTGCACCAGCCTGTGAGCAGCAAAGTGGAGAGCCTATCAATGGTGAGAACCTTTCCTGAAGTTCAGTTGCATTGTGTGGCGGTTCCGTGTTATCACATGAAACTGTTGTAACACTTTTTTTTTTTTTCCCCACTTCAGTTTCTTGGTGAGCTGAGTTTGGTAGATTGTGACCCCTTCCTGAAGTACCTCCCATCTCAAACTGCTGCTGCAGCTTTCATTTTGGCCAATCATACAATTGCAGGTGGATCATGGGTAAGTCTGCACAATCAACTTGGGCAAAAACTTGGATGTTGGTCATTGTGTAAACATTATGCTATGTTGAAAAGCCCTTGGCTACCTGCTGGTTGATCAGTCAGTGTTTTCATTATCAAACTGGTCCAATATATGTTATTGCGCACGTGGGTCTTGGTTTTTCCTCATAACTCTGTCTCTTGCAGTCGAAGGCACTTGTTGAGATGACTGGCTACACTTTGGTGGATCTTATGCCGTGCATTCAGGATCTACATCAGATCTGTTAAGTTCTCCATTTTAAGCTCCTCTTTTAATGATGCATGTTCTCTACTTCATGGCTCAATGTTTATGGTGGTGGGTTTTTTTTTTTTTTTTTTTTTTTTTAAATCATGCAGTTCAAGTCAAAACCAAAAGCAGGTTACATGAAGAAACAGCCCGACATCACAAACAGCATGCGAGCCATTCTGGTGGACTGGTTGGTGGAGGTGGGAGAAGAGTACAAGCTCCAGAATGAGACCCTCTACCTGGCTGTGAACTACATCGATCGCTTTTTGTCTTCCATGTCTGTCCTGAGAGGAAAACTACAGCTGGTGGGCACAGCTGCTATGCTTTTGGCTTCGTAAGTATCTTTGCATTAAAGCCTCAGACTGCACAACCTTCCCCCCACTCCTCGCCATTCTCCATGTTCACACTTCTCTGTTTGACTGTAGGAAGTTTGAGGAGATCTACCCCCCGGAGGTGGCAGAATTTGTTTACATCACTGACGACACCTACACAAAAAAACAAGTGTTGAGAATGGAGCATCTGGTGCTGACGGTTCTGTCGTTTGATCTTGCTGCTCCTACAATCAATCAATTCCTCACCCAGTATTTCTTGCACCAGCCTGTGAGCAGCAAAGTGGAGAGCCTATCAATGGTGAGAACCTTTCCTGAAGTTCAGTTGCATTGTGTGGGGGTTCCGTGTTTTCACATGAAACTGTTGTAACACTTTTTTTTTTTTCCCCACTTCAGTTTCTTGGTGAGCTGAGTTTGGTAGATTGTGACCCCTTCCTGAAGTACCTCCCATCTCAAACTGCTGCTGCAGCTTTCATTTTGGCCAACCACACAATTGCAGGTGGATCATGGGTAAGTTTGCACAATCAACTTGTGCAAAAACTAGGATGCTGGCCGTTATGTGAACATTATGCTGTCTTAATTAGAATGGCAAACTAGCAGGTAGCCCAGGGATGATCAGTGTTTTCAGCATCAAATTGGTGTTTGATAGGGTTCACTTGGATATTTAGCTTTTTTCTCACAACTCTCTCTTGCAGTCGAAGGCACTTGTTGAGATGACTGGCTACACTCTGGAGGATCTTATGCCGTGCATTCAGGATCTACATCAGACCTACCTCGGTGCTGCTCAGCACACACAGCAGGCAGTTAGGGAGAAATACAAGGGCTCAAAGTAAGTTAACTTTCTCTACATGGTCAATAGCTGTGTTAGCAATGGCTAACTTCTTCCTCTTTCCCTCCAGGTACCATGAAGTCTCTCTCATTGAGCCTCCAGAGAAGCTGATGCTAAACTAACCAGCCCATCAACATTGTGTTCATTGGTTCCATACCGTCATTGGAATTGTGTGCACACTTTGATGCTTTATTTCCATTACTCCAATAACTGAAGCCATAGCCTCAATTTTGGGGGAGTGGTGAGATCTTTGACTTTTTTTTTTTTTTTTTTGCAGTCCTTAAGGATTGAGCTTTTATGCTTGATACATCCAGATATTTGTACATTAGGTAATCAAGCATTGTTTTAATATTTCTGTCTGTTCTATTTTTATGAAAGACTCCAGCAATGCACTTTATCTATCCTTTTTTTTAAATTTTTTTTTAACACTGTTAAAGTGACCCTCCCTTTTACATCTTAATAAAAGTGCTGCTGGCCTTTATGTACTTTGTTCAGGTCATTTCTATTTGGTTGAGGTGGGAGGAGATAATCTGATGTCTTATGGCCTGCATATTTTTCTGTGATAGACACTTTAAATTTAATTGCTCTTGCTTCATTTACTGAAATGAGGTGATTGATCATTGCTTCGTGGGTCTACTTTGTTCAGTGTGAAACAGGCAAGTGGTCCTTCACGCAGTCACTTAAATGCTGGCTGGATTTGAACAACCTGTTAAATTAGGTACTAAATGAGTACTATGCAAATTTTATAAAAGGCTGTTGTCGTGGTCAAATTAAACTTGGATTTACAATGTTAGCATAAATGGTGCATTATAAAACTGGTTCCTTATCCTGGCAATTATTTATTGAAGTAAGCACTGCTGAGGGGATAACTACATCTGAAGTCTTACCATTACGGTTTTCTCTTTCCATCTATTTCTTTTGTAAAGTCGTAGTATTGCAGAAAAAAAATTGTGTGATTGCCGCAAATGTAAGTTAGGGTCTCTATACAGCATTGCCTTAAGTGTTGCTTTGAGGTACTACATAAATTAAACCTAAGCAAATTAAGTAGCGTATACATTTTGAGGTATGGTAGAAAAAAAAATACATGTACAATCTTTTGCAGTAGTCTTGGTATTTTAAATTAGTGCAACATATCGGCTCTACATTCAGTAAAAACGGTTTAGAGTTTGATTTTATTCATCTACATAGACCATAGTAGTTATAAACGGAGGCAATAAATATGTGACATGCCTTGAACAAGCAAATAATTGACATTCTCAAATGCAGTTACAACTTGCCCTGACCATAAATAGCATTGAAGGCAAAGAACAGTTGAGTATAGGGCTCTATGTAATAGATGAGAATCACAGAATATTTGACAACACCTCAATCATCTGTTCACATGAAAAAGGCATCCTCAAGTTACATATGAAACTTCCTGAACTCATGGCATTCAGATCATTGTCAACTGTTGGGAAAGGCTCAGGGCAAGGTACATCAAGATTTTCAGGGTAATCCAATACAACAATAGAAACAATTTTAGCAAGAACATAAAAAATGGAATCAAACTAAAGAACAGACAAGCCTAATGATAGCTGAAATTTGATTTCTCAGTGGTATGATTTCATTAGAAAAACAAGCTATAAAGAGCTATATCTATTTACCCTAGCAGTTAAAATTAAACATCCCAAGGGCTCCTTCTCTACCCCCTGAAAATCAATATGAATATAAAAGCTCTAATGAACTAAAACGGTTGTACCCCCTTAACAGACAACTGTCCACAGAGATACATCTTGCTGTTTTGTTTTTGGATGTAGTCTGTCAGATTGATGGTCTCTCCAAACATAGCAAACGGCTCAGTGCAGAAGAGGACATCCATCTCTGAGTGATCAGACCTGGCCATCTTGTTTGTAAGTTAATCTTGAAACTCCCAATCTGTGAATTGTGTCTAGTAGTTTGTGTATGTTAGACACCGGTGGGAGCAAGGCGGCTAATAAAGGCAATGCTGTTGAGGCACATCCTCCTGAAGAAGGCCGGACAGCTGGGCTTCATCACAAAATGCTCCAGTAAAATCCTCAGCTCCGTGAACAAAGTCCTGACAGGACAAAAATGACTGTGAACACTGATACTGGGCTCAGGACACACACACAACACAACCACATATAATTGTAGTATACATTTAAAAACTGCTGAGCTTCTAACTGGCTCTAATTATTAATTTGTCATGGAAATGAGAACAACATGCAGAACCCCATATTTTGGGTAAATTGTGCATGTGTACATCTAACACTACTCAGTGTGTACATAAGATACAAGATTCTTACCGACAATATGGGTTGCGTCTTGAGGTATAGCGCAGAGTGAGAAACCTGTAGTAGATGAATGGCTGAAGCAAACTGCCCTGACCACTGTGAATCACAAAAGCAAACATCATCTTATTAGAAGAAACATAGCATGGCTTTAATCATGCTTTTTTTCCATCACCAAACTACTACTTTTTTTAGCCTACTGTATATTTGATACATACATTTCTAAGGCTAAATTCTTTAACAATTAAACTCCGCACACCTGACGACAATAGATAGGTGCGTTGGAGGCAAAGACCAACCAGGTCAAAAAAGCAAAAAAACAAATCCTGCACACTATGCAAAAAATATCAAAATATTTGTTGACTACGTTTCGGTCGCATGACCTTCATCAGGAATTTTTTTTAAACATGACATCACAAAGTACACCCCATTTAAAAACAGATTCATTAATTCATGACCAATCACTGTAAAGATCCATTGATTAATAACAACCCGCAATAGGTACATCAACTACTTCAAAAAAAACAAAAAACACTTTCATGTACATATACACATAAACATATCCTGTGCATACATACTAGCACATACATCAGGCCCAGATTGCATTATAACATCACATTAAATAAAGCTTCATCATTCATGTCAATCATCTGTTCACATGAAAAAGGCATCCTCAAGTTACATATGAAACTTCCTGAACTCATGGCATTCAGATCATTGTCAACTGTTGGGAAAGGCTCAGGGCAAGGTACATCAAGATTTTCAGGGTAATCCAATACAACAATAGAAACAATTTTAGCAAGAACATAAAAAATGGAATCAAACTAAAGAACAGACAAGCCTAATGATAGCTGAAATTTGATTTCTCAGTGGTATGATTTCATTAGAAAAACAAGCTATAAAGAGCTATATCTATTTACCCTAGCAGTTAAAATTAAACATCCCAAGGGCTCCTTCTCTACCCCCTGAAAATCAATATGAATATAAAAGCTCTAATGAACTAAAACGGTTGTACCCCCTTAACAGACAACTGTCCACAGAGATACATCTTGCTGTTTTGTTTTTGGATGTAGTCTGTCAGATTGATGGTCTCTCCAAACATAGCAAACGGCTCAGTGCAGAAGAGGACATCCATCTCTGAGTGATCAGACCTGGCCATCTTGTTTGTAAGTTAATCTTGAAACTCCCAATCTGTGAATTGTGTCTAGTAGTTTGTGTATGTTAGACACCGGTGGGAGCAAGGCGGCTAATAAAGGCAATGCTGTTGAGGCACATCCTCCTGAAGAAGGCCGGACAGCTGGGCTTCATCACAAAATGCTCCAGTAAAATCCTCAGCTCCGTGAACAAAGTCCTGACAGGACAAAAATGACTGTGAACACTGATACTGGGCTCAGGACACACACACAACACAACCACATATAATTGTAGTATACATTTAAAAACTGCTGAGCTTCTAACTGGCTCTAATTATTAATTTGTCATGGAAATGAGAACAACATGCAGAACCCCATATTTTGGGTAAATTGTGCATGTGTACATCTAACACTACTCAGTGTGTACATAAGATACAAGATTCTTACCGACAATATGGGTTGCGTCTTGAGGTATAGCGCAGAGTGAGAAACCTGTAGTAGATGAATGGCTGAAGCAAACTGCCCTGACCACTGTGAATCACAAAAGCAAACATCATCTTATTAGAAGAAACATAGCATGGCTTTAATCATGCTTTTTTTCCATCACCAAACTACTACTTTTTTTAGCCTACTGTATATTTGATACATACATTTCTAAGGCTAAATTCTTTAACAATTAAACTCCGCACACCTGACGACAATAGATAGGTGCGTTGGAGGCAAAGACCAACCAGGTCAAAAAAGCAAAAAAACAAATCCTGCACACTATGCAAAAAATATCAAAATATTTGTTGACTACGTTTCGGTCGCATGACCTTCATCAGGAATTTTTTTTAAACATGACATCACAAAGTACACCCCATTTAAAAACAGATTCATGAATTCATGACCAATCGCTGTAAAGATCCATTGATTAATAACAACCCGCAATAGGTACATCAACTACTTCAAAAAAAACAAAAAACACTTTCATGTACATATACACATAAACATATCCTGTGCATACATACTAGCACATACATCAGGCCCAGATTGCATTATAACATCACATTAAATAAAGCTTCATCATTCATGTCATTAGGTGACAATGTCTGAAGGGTTGATGTAAGAGCAATTCAATTTCGCCACCTCTAGGTGGCACATTAACCCTTTCAATACCACAAAACCGTAAGGTAGAAACATCATGATTTAAGGCAAGAAAATGAGCTGCAACTGGATAGTTCATATCTTTTCTCCTGATAGAACTCTTGTGTTCACTAATTCTTTGTTTAAGTCACAAAGTACACCCCATTTAAAAACAGATTCATTAATTCATGACCAATCACTGTAAAGATCCATTGATTAATAACAACCCGCAATAGGTACATCAACTACTTCAAAAAAAACAAAAAACACTTTCATGTACATATACACATAAACATATCCTGTGCATACATACTAGCACATACATCAGGCCCAGATTGCATTATAACATCACATTAAATAAAGCTTCATCATTCATGCCATTAGGTGACAATGTCTGAAGGGTGTCTAAAGATCCAAAACAGTTCACGTTGATGTAAGAGCAATTCAATATCGCTACCTCTAGGTGGCACATTAACCCTTTCAATACCACAAAACCGTAAGGTAGAAACATCATGATTTAAGGCAAGAAAATGAGCTGCAACTGGATAGTTCATATCTTTTCTCCTGATAGAACTCTTGTGTTTCTTGTGTTCTTGTTTAAGTTGACGTGATGTTTTTCCAACATAACCTAAACCACAAGGACACCGAATCAACCGAATCAAATGCGTAGAAACACAGATAATAACGGAGTTAATTCTATATTTTTTACCGGTTCTTGGATGACAAAAGAAAGAAGTTTTTGATGTATTATTGCACTGAGCACAATTACCACAACGATAATTACCATTTGGTATAGGGCTAAGTAATCTCTGAGAAGAATCAGGAGTATCCGTCTGAAAACGAGCATGTACCAAAGAATCTTTTAAATTTTTGGAACGTTTATACACAATCAAAGGAGGATGCTGAAAAATGGTACCCAACTCCGGGTCAGAGGACAACAAATACCAATATTTCTTAAAAATCGATCTCATAAGATAAGACTTAGTTGAATGCGTTGTAATAAAAG